AAGCAGAGTCGATTGTGCAACTGTGTCCATATCATGAGCATATATTTGTTTCAGCAGTATTACAGTTGTATGATGTTGTTTGTAAACAAATCGATCCTGGACCAGACAATCATGTTTTAAACTTCCAGCTTGTACATTCATTGTGTTGCCAAATATTTATTATCAGTTGGGCTTAAACCATAACTATTATTTAGATATTTGATGATAAATTATTTTTCTAACATACAAACTTATGCCAAAGACAACGACCTTGAGCAAAATTACATGTTTTACAAAGAAACCAAGTATGTGCATAAAATTATTCAGTCATAACAACACAAATCACATAACCGTCATTATCTAAACAGGTAGATTAATTATTTCGAAAATAATGTCCATAAATTTGGAAAACAAATATTGTCCCCAATTCCACATAAAATTATCCAAATTTATGATGAGAAGATAAATAAAGTTGATAACGGAAGTTCCAATTTCGGCTAACAGCTTCTTCCTCCATACTGAGAGGTGAAACAATTATAGCCTACTTATGTCTCTTGGTTACAGGTCAGAGATCACTCCTGACAGACCCAGTCAAAGACAGAGCCCAGTCGTTAGTTCTCATTAAGTTGTGCGAGCATGCTCCGAATGACACTCCAAATGACATGTGTCACATTTTTGCCACAAATTATTCCATCCATGGCAACCTCTAACCTTCACAGCTTCATATCTTTCAAAGGTGTCAAGTTTTTAACTAGATATCGTAGGTAGACATAATATCAGATAAAATGTCAGTTGAGCAACCTTGTTGACAAGGGACAACTGAAACAGAACTGTAGGATGTTGTTTGAATGCCAACTACAAACATAAAAGACTGACAAATCCAGTCCTAAAGACTCATTTCAGAAAAAAATCCCCCAAAAACAAAATTGCACTCTCGGGATGCATATACTGAGGTTCATACTGAGGAACACAACAACTGACTTAATGACCTTGGTGTCAATCAAGGTCATTATGGAATCTCGTATCATTTCTCGCAAGCCTCTACTCATATGATAAATGTTGATAAATAGGCCATAAAAGGTTTCATATTCATTACAGATGAAACATAATACAGGCCTGCAGCTGGCCTATTCATAAACTTTTATATCTGTTTTAGTATAGATAATGACATTATTGGGTAAACATTGTCTGAAGGTCAGCAAAGGTCAGAAGGCTGGTCAATCCAGACCAGAATATATTTAACCAGGCCAGACTGAAGATTGGGGCAATAAATTGGGGATGAGAGGTCAGGAGGGGGCACTGGTCAAGTGACTGAAGATTGAGGTCAATATCTGAGGGAGTTCTTGAGGTCATGTCAGGTCATGCGTTGGTCAGGTGAAGTTCACAAGTCTTCTGATCTTACAATGACCAGATCATATAGGCTTAAACATGCTGAAGGAGGCCAATTATTGTCCAAATCTGAACAAAAGTCAGGTGTATAATGTATTGGTTACAATAGTGATCCATTGTTGCCAAAGCTAAGGGGTTTACCATAAAACGAGAGTCATTATAGAATGTGAACAGAGTGCCTCTGTGTAAACAGGAGTCATGATTCAAATAATTCTGAACCTTTTATTCACATCTGAGGACATATATCAATCTATTGTTTTTGCAATGTTTCCTATTTCACTGTCTTGTACTGAAAGAAAACCTTTAGATTCAGTACTGAGTAACTTTCAATATTTTAATGCAGGACTGACTGACTGAGTTTGGTTTTACGCCGCTTTTAGCAATATTCCAGCAACATCACAGCGGGGGGACACCAGAAATGGGCTTCACACATTGTACCCATGTGGGGATTCGAACCCGGGTCTTCGGCGTGACGAGCCAACGCTTTAACCACTAGGCTACCCCACCGCCCTTTAATGCAGGAAGCTACTATTACAATTGCATTGAGCTCCCAAAGAATGAGTGAGGGATCTTGAAGCAAGGTGGTCTCTTTGACTGGAACATTTTACATTGACAGTTAGACTCAAAAGTATCACTATATATGGATATGTTCATATGTAACAGAATTAGTTATTCTGTTTGTGTTAGATAAAACCTACCAGGACTTGCCATTAGTCTGTTATATCTCCAGTCAAAAGGTGAAGACATGTTCAAGCATTCACTAAGTGATTCCCCTACTTCAAATAACAAATTACATTGCAAAAACAAAGCTCATCGATCACATTTTTCAAAACTACGTTTAAGTAATCATAAACTCAAAATTGAAACTGGAAGATATACAAAACCTGCAACCCCATTAGAACAACGTCTCTGTGAAATGTGGAGTGTCTTAGACGATGAGCAACACCATGTAATATCATGTACCAAGTATAACGAAGAAAGGGAATCACTTATACACACAATGCTTTATTATGACCAAGAATTTACTACACTCTCAAAAGAAGAACAATTCCTAATAATTTTCACGAACAGAAGTCCTGAATTAATTTCCAAAATATGTCACCATCTTTACAACTTTAAATGAATTCTATATCTTACCATAGTCTCCTCATATATTATTTCCATGTCATTATACCACATGATTTCAAAAAATTGTTATAATATACATCATCTATGTGTGAAATGTATCTATATTTCTTGTACCTACTGTGTAAATATTTGTAGCTTATAGAATATTGCCACTGTTTCTTCATGGAATGCTATGCAATAAATATCTTATCTTATCTTATGGATATGTTCATATGTAACATATGTTATTCTGTTTGTGTTAGATAAAACCTACCTGGACTTGCCATTAGTCTGTTATATGAAGTAGGTTTAGCAAATACATGTTCACAATTGAAAGTGAAGCCTTGTTATTAACAAACTTCTTAACAAATCTACATCTTAACTACTGTAGATACTTTCATATTGAATATATAAATCTGTATCTGTGTTCCACCATTAAAATTTTGCTGTTACCACCATTTGAGATAATATCTCTATTAAGAGATGCTGTGAATATATCTGTCATTTCAGTTTAACTTGGGAAGAAAGCCAATAGTGATGCAGGCTGATAACTAAAATTGTATCATATTGATCAAACAAACCAGCTTGTGGATTAACCCATCAAAGGTAAGTCACCTGGAATCAGTACCATGGATATACCTATACTAGCAGTGTTCACGAATAGCGTCTGACCCTCTGACAAATCCGGCAGATTCACCAACGGTCCGATAGAAGTCTACAACCCGCCGGCCCCAGTGTCTGACTGTATATTTCACAATGACTTTGACTGAAGTTGTTATATGTGACATGTGACACTTGTTTGCTGCTCATAAATCTTATGTTTGTTAATAATTTCTATACCAATTATAAGAAATGTTCAATCTGAAATGTATGTTTCATTTTATTCTATGGGTCCTGTGAATTTTCAATGGGTCAGGCAGACATCTGAAACTTACAGGACCCAATGTCCTGTTACTTTGAAACACCAGTCGTGAACACTGTACTAGACTCACCAATCACATCTGTCACACAAGATTATATGGCTTGAACAGATGTTTATCTAACGTAGATACACTAGGGGGTCATATCATAGTAAACATAATTCAATCTGTATTAACAGTAGACTTGCACAAGTGCCTCAGGCAATAATGATTAGTTTCAATCATAATTTCCAGATTACATATAAGACTAAAGAGCGACTTCTCCATACAAAAGACTGGCATGCTTGTACTGTCTGTCAATCTAGACTAGCTCATTGTAACGATACGAGTACTAAACATCCATCGCCTATAAAACAGCCAGAGAATCATTTTCAAGCCCAGTTCGTGATCCCTATAACCAGTATTAAAGTGTGTGGTCTCAGAGTCATGAATATATTGGCTGCAACAACAGTTGTAGTTCTGTGATTACTAAATCGTTAGAGGTGTGACGATGCAGAAATTTCATGATACGGTACGTATCGCGATATCTGGCAACAATACAATTTGATGCATATCACGATATGCTATCTTCAGTTATTTTCTTTAAAAAAGTATATTTTGATAGCAAGCAACAGTGTAAATTTTGACATAACCGTCAATTTCTAGTGAAAATTAACAATTTTATGGTCAACAATAAATATCATGATATGGAAAAAAGTATTGATGTATTTATCATCAGATAAAGTATCACGATTATCGATACTATGATACATCGTCACAGCTCTATTAATCGGTGGTTGATATCATGAGCACCAATGTGAGAGTCTGTGAGTTTGGTTTTATGCCGCTTTTAGCAATATTCCAGCAATATCACAGTGGGGGACACCAGACATAGGCTTCACACATTTGCAACCATGTTGGGAATCAAACCCGGTTCTTCAGCGTGATGAGCGAACGTTTTAACCACAAGACTGCCCAATCGCCCGAGTGTGAGAGAGGTATAGTTGCTTTAAGCTGTATCAGCAATGTTGCAGCTATTGATGGCTAATAGTCTTCTTGTTGACGGTGGTCTGTTAATAATCAAGTCTGGACCAGACATTCCAGTGATCAACAGCATGAGCATCAATCTACACAATATATTATTGGTATACGATGACATGTGTCAACCAAGTCAGCAAGTGAGCATTCCAGCAATATCATGGAGGGGGCACCAGAAATGGGTTTCAAACATTTTACCCATGTTGGGAATCGAACCCAGGTCTTTGATGTCACTTTAACCATTATGCTACCCAACTGTCCCTTAAAACTGCAGTAAATTATATCTGCGAAGAAAAACCCAGAGGAAATTTTATCCAACAGGGGTGTCCTTGAACGAATTAATAAATTGACAGCCCTACTGTGGGGGAACTTGTTTGTCTGACACATGCAACATCACAGGGAGTTTTTGTCTGTTTGTTTATATTTTGAGGTAATCAGCCGGTTGCCTGGAGCATCTCATCCAAAACATATGTCACAAGATCCTCCAAGGTGTACAGTATCCAGTGCTTGCTAATGTTTGAAAACTGAGCTCTGAGTTGCCATGGCAATGGGTCTCCGGTTCTAGTGTTAAATATAAGGGGTACTCACCCATGGTACCTGTTTAACAAGAGGGGAATCAACCGGAACCGTCCTGTCGGCCGTGTCATGGGTGCTGGCTTCTCATTATCCTACATGGTACAAAGATTCTTTATCTGAAAGAAAGAAAATCACAAATATTAGCACTACATAATGGGACTGATAGAAAGGGTATAAATATTTATAGCATCGTACCTCTGCAGACTTTCTGATTTCATTCATTGAAAATACCCAGTTGAGGTTCTGCAGCTCACTTACATTTGTAAGCAACACTATGTTAACAATGAAGGTTATACTGTTATCAAACAAAATATTTATAAATCTATCTTACATATATATTGACATATTATCATACATCCAAGTATTACATTATTATGATTATAATTTTAACGACTGTCATGAAGCTCCACTGTCATGACTGCTGTTTTCAAGGTATTTCAAGGTCAAGGCAGCCTGAAGGGGTCGAGAAGCTTTTAGTAATTGATTTTCTTATTATTGTCATGTTATTATAGTGCATGCATATTTTACACAGTTTCTACCCTGTAACTGCTATCAAATGAATTGGTCAAAAAGAACTTTCATTTACGTTTTAAGAAAGAATGTCTCATCAGCTTGTTTCCTCCATAAATTGAATGGTTAATCGTGTAGAACCCATCCATCCATCCATCCATCCATCCATCCAATAATCTGTGTATTACTATTCATAAAATATCAAACCATACAAAGAGAAACTGGGTTAACTCCAAATCCTTTAATAGAGAACAACAACAGGGGCTAAACGTCTGGACTAGAAAATGACAGTTTTCAGCACATTTTCAGACAGAAATATATGCTTCTGTAATCTTTTTTATCAGTGGTAACATTTCTCTATCCAAGTCTTTTAAGATATAGTGGAACACTAGTCTCAAGTTGCGTTAATGATGTGTTTGGGTATGAGAGCACATGACCTCCGGAGATAAGGGATATCTGGTGCGTCTCAAACTCAACATTTTATCACAGAAGCAGTGATAACCAACAATTCTGACGTCTCTGAAACCACTGTGTACATGTGAGCATCAGCTTATCAACATTTGCTCAGGAAGTGATACAGAGCCTCATGCTAGTCTCATCAGTCAAGCGGTTATCTTTTCACAGGATAATAATCATTTCTTGGCTTACACAGAATTAGGCCAACTTTTTTCTCCGTTTTATTTAAGATTTGTATATGTGAACATTGTTTTGTTTGTTGTTGAAGCACTCGGCAATATTCAAGTTACATGATGGCAGTCTGTAGAAAATCAAATCTGGTCCCCACAAGCCAATGATTGATGTTATGAGCACTGATTCCTGCTGTTGAGTTACAATGAAACACTATCAGCCAGTTCACTTCGTTGGTTGGATGGCTGGTTGTTGTTTCACGCGGCACTCAGCAGTATTCCAGCTATATGGCAGCTGTCTGTAAATAATCGAATCTGGACTAGGCACTCCAGTGATCAACAGTATGAGGAATGATCTACACAACTGGGATACGATGACATGTGTCAATCAAGTCAGCGAGCCTGACCATCCAATCCATTTAGTTGCATCCTACAACAAGCAGAAGTTAGTGCTGAACTATGTTCTTACCAGCATCCCTACTGGATTAAATTTGATGGACATATTTTGACCTATGTGATAGAGGTTTACAGTGGTCAAAAAACACATTTGCCTGACTTTGAATCAATTCATTTTCCATCCTTACTTCAGATACAAATTTTATAAAACAAAACAAAAAGAAAACAACAAAAAATAGAAACCATTTGACAAGTACTAAGTGACTTTACATTTTCAAAATGGAAATTTTCAACGTAATTGAACTTTGCATTTTTTTCCAGAACTTGTAATATAATCATCTCTATCAGCCTCATGTTGACTCCATCACCCAATGCTAATTAAGATACAACCCCTCTCAAGACAATCCATGAACTTACATGCCCCATTGATGACAACCATTTTAGCAGCAAGCTTCACCTGACCTAAACCTGCTCTACCTATAGCCACAACTGATAAGCACCTTCTTATAAAGCAAACATCATTATCAAATATCTTCCATTCTTTTAAATTTCCTTATGAAGAAAACATTTAATTTGGATAATATAGAGCAAAAATATACTTCACTGCATCAAACATAAATGGTTGTTAGTTTAATCTGATCGTGTTATAGAGAGGTAGGGACGGAAATGTCTGCCTTGTGTTAACCCAATTCACAAACCTAGCAGACAGAGTAAGAGTGTTTCTTCACAGACATGAACGAGTTGCAGACTAAAGACACATTATAGATAGCAGACTAGACTAACATTTAGTCACTGAACTGAATATACGTCTTGGCTTAAAGTTCTCTAAATATCTAATAGAGCCTAGGCAATCAGTAAAGACATACCAAAGAATTGTATATTTTGTTGTGATTTTTTAAATAATTTTGTTTCTCTCATTAAGTAAGAATTATTAAGAAAATTGCACTGGTTTCAAATCAAAACTAGGTCAGTAATCACATTGAAATATAAATTCATAGTGACAAGATGATAACAAACACGGCAATAATTCATGGACACTTCAGAACCTAAAATGCTACTCAAAAGTTAGTCAAAACCAGACAATGCCAAACATTACATACCTCGCTGAACAAACATATATTGTTCATCAAAAGCTCAAAACACAAGAGATTTAAACCCTTTACAACTTACATAATTAATCAATATCTATTTAACTGCATCATTCGAAAACAACAATTTTCACCAATTAATACAGAAGGATAAACAGATGGGAATGGCAAGATAATCGATAGCTTTATACGAACATATGACAACTGCATGTGGCTTTACAAAACTCTGTTTCCATAACAGATGTGTAAAAATACCATATTGACTATATTCCGCAGTACCTGCTTTCACCTATACTCTCTGACCCCTGAGATGGTGAAGCCAGGAACTGACCTACTTCGGCACATCAGTGAGAAACATGTGACCCCGAAATGGTAAGTATTTGTTTTGTGTGTAGAGCGACACCACAGAGTATCTTCAGTTCCCACCTACATGGGGAAGTAAGATGTTCCTGAATAGGTACTGGCTGAGCTAACATTGAACTAGTAATTGGAGTATTTGCTAAGTTGAAAATGGTGAGACTGTATTTGATGAAACTATATTTGATGGTTCTGGTGCATGAGAAACATAATCAAAGAATTAGACAACACAACATTAAGTAAGAAAGTTTAAAAACATGTTTTTTTTACATAAATGTAGGTCCTATATTTTGAAATACAAAAGAAAAATAACATTACAAATTAATCCCAGACACAAGCTAGAAAAATTGAAAACAACTGCTGTAATGTACATGTCCAAATTAAATCCAAATGATACTTGGCCAAATCTCAATGAAAGGGATGGTGAGGTAGATCAGAGGGTAAAGCGTTCACTTGTTACACCAAAATCCCAGGTTCGAGTCCCCACATGTGTGAAGCCCATTTCTGGTGACCTCTGCCTGGATGTTGCTGGAAAGTTGCTAAAAACAGTGTAACACCACACTCATCTACTCACTCCAGTGAGTGAGTGAGTGAGGTTGGTTTTACGTGCTTTCACCAATATCAAGGGACATCAATGGGTTTTCATGGACACCAGAATATCAAATGTTCAAATCCACAACTAACCCTCATGCAGATGAACCTTTCATGTTGGAGTCTTGGATTTAATTAACAACCATTGGGACAAGAGTCGAATGACACAAAACCTGTCTTTGAAACTCGGACAAAGTCAGCTGTCAACACAAACAAGGGAAACCACACATGCCACAAACATTTTCCAAATAAAAACAGGTTGGCTTCAAGTTACACACTGGAATAAACTCCACATCCCCACAGTGGCTGTTTGTTTCACTGGATGTGCTTGAAGAGCACAACGGCAACAACAGCAAATGAAGAAACGAACAGCCATAAATGACTCACTCCAAAACCGCAACATAACTAGATAGCATCTCTCGGAACGACCACAAAAACATTGCATTGCATAATCCTTTCTCCTTGCTCTCCTTTCAGGCTTACGTAATATACAGGGCAAAACAAGCACGTTAACATGGTGAAAAACTTTGACATGAACTATTTCCCTGTCAGTTTGACATTATTTAAAACCATAAAGTAAGTTGATTCATGGTACGTTTGTGTTTTTTTAAGGGGATATAGTCCATATATCTCTTCTTTGCAGAATCGGTTGTATGTGTTCATTCACAAGGAAGACCTGTGTTGTTAAACAAACCTGGCTAAAGATGATTCTAAGCCAAACAAAGGTTCAGTTGACAAGTATCACGTACGATAGAATGAATGACTGAATGTCATTTAACATCACAGAAAAATTACAGCAGTCTTGAGGTAATGGTCTGAAGCCTAAAAAAAAAAAGCTTGTGGTTCCGATTTCCCGACCGACCCTAAATATTCCCGCCGAGCCTAACAATTTTACTCACCACATAATAAATCAAATTTATTTTCTGACACATGAGTAATGTAAAAATATTTTGCAAAAAAACAAAACAAACCTACCTACCTACCCTAGATCTGAAATGTAGGAAATCGGAACCATAACATTTATTTTTTTGGGCCTGATCAACCTGTGAAGATCCAGGTTAGAATTGGTCTTCAGTAACCCATGCTTGTCGTAAGAGGCGACTAAAGGGATCAAGTGGTCAGGCTCGCTGATTTGGTTGACACATGTCATCGCATCCCAATTGCGTAGATTGATGCTCATGCTGTTGATCACTGGATTGTCTGGTCCAGACTCGATTATTTACAGAGTGAGTGTCATTATATAGCTGAAATATTGCTAAATGTGGTGTTAAACAAGAAACAAACAAATGGTCTGGCCAGGGAAACTGGTGATTGATAGCATGAGTCACTCAGTTAGGTTTTACAACAAAATATCATTTTTTTGACAGTTGTCATGATGAGCTTTAGTGACAGGGAACCAACGGTAGGAGTGAGTGGGTTTAGCATTGCAGCTATATCATAGCATGTCAGGTTGATGGGGATTCCAGTCACAGATATTGATCCCTTTGGTGAAACCAACAAGCACAGCTATGATCCTGTGAAACAATACATCCTGGCACATCTAAGGGA